AAATTAGTAAAATCCTTACAGAAACCCTTCTTTGATTATAATCATCATTTGCTCACTAGTGACCGTCTCCAAGCGGTATTTCCTTGGGTTCCAGTAAGAAATATTGACCAGTGGAATTCAACCGGGTCTGTTATGAGATAGCAGCTCACTGATGATAATGGCGGATGGTGGCGCAACTTCGTGGATTGGTTACAGTTAGACATGCGCACTACTGAGGAGTCCCATACTAAAACGAAATGACCGATCAGTGTTTCCAGGATTTTCATGGTGGTCTGACTTCAATCGACTCATGAATTCAATCATTAGATTACTAAAACATCCACAAAAACCCTTCTCTGACTTTCATATCTCATTGGTGAACATGGTAATTTTGAGTAAAATAATCTCTTTTACAATCGACTTTCAAAAATGGTAGGGTTTCATCAACGATATATATATATATATATATATATATATATATATATATATATATATATATATATATATATATATATATATATATATATATATATAACAAGAACATTAGTTAAATATATAAAGTCAATATAAATTTAGCTCATTTTGGTTTGAACAGCTTAATAAAATTATCAGTACTAACAAAATACATTACCCTTGATGTTTCGTGAGAAATTTACAATGATACAGAAATAAGGTTACAATACTTAGAAGTAATGTAAACAGAAAAAGGATTTATTTGCACGTAAAATTTGTAATCGCAGAAATTTATCTTTACGGACATAGTAATAGGATTAATTCAACAATTGAAAGTCTTTTTCATCAAGACAAAGACTGAAATTCTCTGTGTCTACGATGAAAGAATAATAGACTTTAGTGAATTATACTACTAAACATTCCTGTTATCTGAATGCTTAAATTCATTACCATAAGATTATTTCAAAGTTGAATACATAACGATTGCCACACGATAAAATGTAAACTATAAAAATACAGTAACTTTTTATTATCTAATTACAAATGAGAGATTGGTAGATAGTGGGACTAATTCGTCAAAATTTAATCTCACTATACAGAAAAAAAAAAGAAATAAAAATACAGGAGACATAAATTGAAAAACAACTGACAGACAACTCTTGAAGATAACTAAGATTTCAACAAAATATATCAATAAGATGTATAGGAATGATGATAAATGACGGGCCTCGATGATGATGATGACGATGATAATGCTGACATTTACTGGCGTCAATATGTTTTAACACTAATGTATATCTTAAAAAAATACAAAGCAATCAACTATCTCTAAACATCACAATATTAGTTATGTGTAATCAAGTTAATCAAACTGTCAAACACAATAAATCCTGTCATATAATCAGTCTTTTGAGAAATTTAGCTAACAGTTGAATGTGTCGATTGGTTATAGTTTTTTTCTTTTTTGAGCTCTCTCTATATTTATCTTCCAGAACAAAAAACATTGATAGAAGGCATTAGATATTTTTGAGGGTGGGGGGAATATTACAAACATTGTTGTCGCTGTTATTCTCTTTGTAAGTTATTTTGTGAGATTTACTGATAATAATAAAAAAGGTAATTCTTTTTTCATCATTGAAAAATTGCTGTGATAATTAAAAAAATACAGATATATGAATGAACAACATTCCTCTACTGTGATTAATATGATTACTTCTACCTACAGGGTCAATGTTAAAAAATGATTGAATGTACAGGAATGTACAAAGGACAATTATATATTATTTCTTTAAAATATGAATTGTAGTAATTCATTAGTACTTTACACCATTCACTCAGTTAAATAGATCAAATAAATATTTTTCTGGATTGGTTGAAGCTAGACATTAACTACGTTGGATGCCAGATCAATGGTCTACAGGTTAGACGTTCGCTCGCGAGACCCATAAGTTCTGTGGTGGGGTCGTGGATGCGCACTGCTGAGTCCCACAATAAGATGAAACAGCCGTCCAGTGCTTCCAAGTTTTCTATGGTGGTCTAGGTTTAATTGACTCATGAATTCAACTATTGAAATTACATATAATTTTACTAATGATTGTTTTTACACATAATTCATTCTTGAATATTTCAATTATTCTTAGCATTTTCACACAGCAGTTCCAGATGATTTTCTTTTTTTTTGCATTTTCTTTAGTTAAACAGCGACATTTCGAGTGTTACAAATTATTTTAAGAAAAGAACTATTCGTCACTTTGGTTCATACTATTAATAATCCAGTATTATTAGTGTTTTGATACGTAAAGAAATAACTTTTAGAGTAATGTTTCAGAAGAATTTACACATGAATTTGACATTACGAGTTTTCCGTTACCATTTTGTTTAAGTCAACTTATCCATACACACATATATACTATGTGTAAGTGCAAGGATAAGTTGGCCTGAACGAAATGATATATACATATATATATGGTGTATTATAGCTTCTTTTCATTATTATCATTATTCATGTTTATCCTAAATGAAAAAAAAGAATTAAATTGTTATATGTTCATCTCATTCAGAATAGTTCTTTATACGCTTAAATTCACCGAACCAATTAAGCTGGGAAAAGAATTTTTAAAATATTTCACATTTTCTTTTGGTCTTAAGGGACCAAAGAACGTGAATATATATATATATATATATATATATATATATATATATATATATATATATAGTTTTAAAAAGGTTTCTCGCCTTTTTCTCACTGATCAACATGCATCACACCTTTCCATCTGTATCAAGAGAACATTAATTTATAAGATAAAAATAAATGGAAATTAATGTTATTATTCTGTTTCTTGTTCGTATTCTCTTCGTATCTAAAACGTTATTTACTAAACATTATTTATTCTCCCTCGAGGTTCAGTTCTTGAAATATGATATATATATATATATATATATATATATATATATATATATGCTACTACTACTACTATTAAAACTGTACATATATGTTAATAACATTTTAATAAAATTTTCAACTTTAATTGAACTATGATACACATTTAAATGGTCATATTATACACATATGTATATCTTTAAAAGTATTTGTTTGTTTTCTGTCCCTCTTTGCTTACCTACGAAATAGAATAAAAAACCAATGATAAAGAGAATGAATGCATCTCTATTATCTCTTTATAATAAAGTTGACTTATTTTTTTTTACTCATAATTCTCACTTTATACCTATATAAATTTTAGAAAAACATGGTTACAGTTATGCAATAATAATTAATTAATTAAGAATAATCTAATTAAATATTATATCATGATTTCATATATTTCGCTTTATTACTGAATGATAAAAGTTGGTCAAATAATTAACATAAAAGAAGGATATAAATTGTAAAGAAAAAAATGATATCAGAAAGAGATTTTTGTAGATATTATAGTAATTTTTATAGTTGAGATCATGAGTCAATTAAAGCTAGACCACCATGGAAAACTTAAAAGCACTAGACAGCCGTTTCATTCTATTGCGGCACTCCTCAACAGTGCGCATCCACGATCTTGCCTTGAGGGATTCAGTGAATAGAAATAATACAGTTTTATTCTTTAGTGTTAAAAGTGTAACACAATAAAAACATGATTGATATATTTGAGAAAGGATTGTTGACTGTTGTATAATCATAATACAGTTAAATCATGTTGGTTTATTTTTTTGAATAAATTACAAAAGCTAATTATATCCAAAAATGACAACGAACAGTACTTTTGAACTATTAATGATTATCATCATGTTATTTCGGCGAATTTTGTCTGTTAAGTTATATTCGGAGTAACCAGTACAGAAATAAACAAGCATTTATTGAAGTAGCTAGTTAACCATATATTAAAATGATATTAAATCATTTAATATAACAGATGAATTGTTAAATTTGAATGACAATAGAATTTCATTAAGATTTCAGTCACTGATAAGAAGTAGATTAAATAGATACTATGTGGAATGAGGCTTACACAAATCTTTTTATTAAAAAAAATTCAGAAACTATTACATCTACTTCGTATCCCTAAGTATTGATTTTGTATTACGTATTGATTAAAATAAACGTATAATAGATTGCCAAATGATCTATTATGTTATTGAAACATTGTGTAGATGCTTGTACATTCTTTGAACAACCAAATAGCCACAATGTTTGTATTTATTGTGTAATAATGTTTTTATTAAGAAAAAGACAATCAGTTTTCTCTTCCTGGTTCATGATGAGGTTAAACAAATGTCATAATTGAACCATAAATTGAAAATCTAACCAGTAATGAGATTAGAATTTAAATTATTGAACTTTATTCCAATGATTAATCCTGATTATGGCATCATTTTTGTGATTTAAATGTAATAATTTACGAAGTTATAACTACTCATTAGAATTCTTTAAAACTACAGTTTACCTATGTAATATTAATCAGTAAACATAAAAAGGTAAGTTCTTTTCTTGTAATTATTCAATGATAAACAACTCATGATGAATTAAAGAAAATAAATTATTGCCCATTTTAATGGTAATAAGAAAAAACATTTGGTTAATTCCTTAGAATTTAGCCACTTTGATGTTTAAAAGAAACCATATTAGATTTTCAAAAGGTGTATTTTACAAACATTTAATATTGGAATGTGTTTAGTACACTAATATTTTGCTTATTGTATGACTTATAAATCCAAGACCGGTTCATGAATTAAATATTATGTTTACACAAATGGAGTATGTCTCAAGATAATTTTTGTTAGAATTTTTTATGTGTTAGATGATAGCTGAATATGAATAAGTGCTTTGCATATTAGTACTAAACTACTTTAAAAATTTATAATATTACGTAACTATGATTTGATATTTTAAAAGTAACATTTATTCCCTCCGTCCACCCCTCTCTGAAAAGCTGTTTTCTTTTAATAGGACAATAAATCTACTCTCAGATATTTCAGGATCGTTTAAATGATTCAGGTTTTCTTCATAGATATTTCTCTATATTTATATTAAATCTAATCACTATCAAAATATTTTAATATTTTAATTTCCTTAGCAGGTTCAAATCAAAATGATCAACCATCATCTGATCAACAAATAAAATATTTAAATATAACATGTTCTGATTCTAAATCAATAGAAAAACATCATAATTTATCACCTCAATCAACAATTCAATCGTTGGATTTAACCATAAATGAATCAAAAAATTCACCAAAATCAGATATAAAATGTTCTAATGATAAATTAAAACAAGATTTCTCTCAAATAAAATTATTAACTAATTCATTTAATACTATTATTAATGATAAGGAAAATTTAAATTATTATCATCAATATAATAACAGTAATAATAATAATAATAATAATAACTGTTTCGATGTAACTGATTGTTATCAACCACAAGAAACTGATCATTTTTCAGATTCATTTAATAATTCCACCTCTTGTACATCAACATCTCATTATATTCAAATTCAAGAAGATGGTACAGATAACACTGATAAAGAAGAACTTGAAATTCGTCGTAAACGACGTAAACAAATATTACCACAACAGAATTTTCATTTTACTCCAGTTATAACTAATAATACGGATGATTTGATGGAAGTTAATGATATATCAGACGAAAATGATATGACCAGATTTATAGATTGTGAATTAGACGACAGTGTAAGTTATCAACCAAAAATAAGGAAATTATCTAAATCTTCATCAAAAAACGATATGGAACATTTAGAAAGTGAAGAATTAGAAGAAGTGAAAGAAAAAGAACATACAGAAGAGAATATAGAGAATAGAGATCTAGTAGAAATTAACCCAGATGTTCATATGATTCATGCCGATAATGACAATTCACTTAACCAAACTGATAAATTATTCAATAAGAGTTTCTCTCCAACTATTAACATAAATTCAGAATATAATAAATTAATTAATGAATTAAGTCAATATGCTATAGAAGCATTTCGTCGAAGTTTCACAATTAAATCAACAAAAGTACAAAAGGGTTTAGATAGTGAAATGAACAGAAACAATTGTAGTGGTGAAGTCGACGACAATAACACCACTACTACTGCTATTAATAATAATAACACAGAAGAAAGAATTATTGAACAAACATTATTAAAACTTGAACCACATATATCTGAATTAGTTGGTCAATCATTAAGAACAAGTATTGAAACAATAAAGAAAGAAATGTTATCTAATTTTACAAAAATCAATAATCATTCATCTATTAATTTATTAAATAATCAATCTGAAATCAATGAAAATAATAAAAATATAGAAATTATAAATCAAGAAATATTTCATGAAACTTTTCAACACTTAAATGATCCAAATAAAGATAATACTAAAATATTAACATTGAATAACTCTAATGAAGAAATTAAACAAAATCATTCAATTGAAATGATAAATACAAAAAAAATTGATCATTTAACTAATAATTTAAAACAACATTTATATAATTCAACAATCAATACAAATAAACAAATGAATAATAATCAAATATTATCATCTAATAATATAATAGATCAATCTGTAGAAAATGATCCTATTCAATCAGTTTATAAAACATTATTAACAAATAATGTATTCAAATTACCTATAAATAATAATCTTACATTCAATTCAATGAATCATATGAATTTAGCTCATACAACTTCTAATATTAATCATAATGATTCTAATAATTGTATAGATACAATTAATTGCAATGAATATATCCATGAAGAAAAAGAGAAATGTTCACAATTTTCTTCATATTTCAATAATGTAAATGAGAATAATCAAATCTATTCAAGAATTTCATCTAATGATTTATCTCTGGTTGATGTAAGTTTATTTATTCTTTAGGTAAATAATGAGAACAAGAACAATAATAAGGACTAGACACGCATGACATTGATCATCACCCAGTGATCAATCAGTTGTGATTTAACATGGATTTTATCAAGTGAATTATTGAAAATCATGAATCACTAATTAGTTGTTTTATTCTAGTTTAGTACTTTTTTGAAATCATACAAAAGCTTTAAAACTTTCTGATAGCTAGCGAATGTTTTTTTAAATTTCATATTTTAGAAATATTAGTGAAAATGCAAGACATTGGTGTTCACTCATTTTGGGAGCGAAATGTTTATTAGTGATAACAATGAATGATGATTATGAAGTATAATGTATCACTGAAATTGAAGGTGTGGATTGTTGAATCTTGAGTCAGTGATATAAATCTAATGCTTTCATCCCTAGAATTTTATGACTTTGATTCATTTCTATTTAGAGTTATAGGTTGGTACTGCTGTTAATTTCCAGGTTAGAGTTAAACAGTTGTGGGTTATTTTCTATTTTCTAATGAGGCTCCTGTTGATGTTGGCAGTAATAAAAAATATATAGAAATTGAGAATATCTATACAATCTATTTATTTAAATGTCTTTCTGTTAGAGGTACATTAGTCCACAGTAGGAGCTGAAATTATTTAAAGCTTATCAGTCTTAAATATCTTCTATTGAACTTAATAATGCAGTTAATTACACCAAGCTAAAAAGATGAGAATCAATGACACAGTATAAAATGATCTTCAGCAATACTGAGAGATATCAATCATTTCCAAATAATTGTTTATACAAGGTATTGTGTGGAAACAAGATGCTTTGTGTTTAGTAGTGTTTATGTTACCCTAATAATAATATCCAAACTACATTAAATCTTCCTTTCACGTAATAAAGTAGCAACGGTTTCGACCATTTTTAATAAAAACATAAAACGTTGTATCAATGAGAAATCCCTTTCCAGTAATATTCATGTGTCCAATGTCTCCATTAATCTCATTGGTAAAAAATTTGTTGGTATAGATCTGTAAAATAATCTTGAAGCCATCATCCAAACAAAGAAATATATCATTTTTTTCATATGCACATTATAACAACAAAACAAATGCCAAAGCATTTAAAATTAAAAAAACCCACCATCATGATATAAGAGTACAATTAAATACATTTTCTCTCATACCTGAAGCGGAATCTCTCAATTCTATCTCCACGATTCATTCATCTATAATCTGGTTTGTGAAAATAACTAGACTAGTTTGTGTTTAGATAAGTAACCATAGATTGTATAGACGAATATTCATTCATAGAACTATGTAAGATATTACAATTTAAAGTAGATTGAGCTTCATAACTGGCAAGTATTCTGTTAATAACCGTCCAGTGAGCAAGTTATTCATGAATTTACAAAAAAAAGAACATTTTCATCTTCTTTGAAACTATCAGATAACACATTGTATTTTATTTGTTAATATATTGTTTATTTATTAACTTTCAAAAATTCTCTTCTTTCTGTAAATTAATTAGCTATTTAAGATCGTTATTTCAGATTGGTAACCATTTGAAGCTTTACCATAAACTAATACTGTATAAAGAATACCCAATGAAATAAAACAGAAGAATATGTTATTCTAGATTATTAATCTTTAATAGCGTGAAGTCAAACAAACTACTCCTCAGAGCTTTTGCCTTCTCATTATTTATTTTGTCATGAGTACAGTTTTATTCTAACTCGCAAAGTATTTAAAATCATTGATCTTAAAAAATCAGATATTATTATCTATAGAAGTTTCTTCTAAAATCATGAATTACTGGAAAAATTTATGAGTTACGAATGTTTCATATCACTAGAAAGACTACTTAAATTTAGACCTATATTGCGGTCGTAATGTTAACCTTATCGGTAATGAAACGTGGAGTAAATCAGTTTAATTTCGAAAGATTCGACGATTGCGAAAATTATTCAGAAAACCTAGTTTTGATGAAATATATACTTATTTAATGCTCTCTAGTTTCACAGTAAGGATTGTTTAAAAAGTAAACTATATTCATTTGAAAGGAGATAGATACAAACACCTCCCTATCAGTCAATGTATTTATAATTTAAAACAACTGGTTTTAAAACTAAACATCAAATTGTATAAAATTTCTTTGATCGGAATTAAATTCGTTATTTTATTCAATATGTATGTATTTACATTTTACAGATCAATTCACCTCTATCTTCATCCCAATCAATTGACTATATTAATTCTAATCAGTCAGTTGATATTAATTCATCTGAAAATGTTACCTCATCAATGTTGACTAATACTACCACTTCGATATCATCGTGTAATCCTGTAACAGCAGCAGCCGCCGCTGCTGCTTTAGCTAATGTTTTAGGATTTCCGATTCCATACAGTTGGTCACCGAAAACATTAACTGATATGCAAGATGCTTATGGATTACTATCAAATCCATATTATCAATGGCCGTGGAAACTTCTTAATTCTTCTTATGCATCAAAATATTCTGATCAAAATACACTTCTTCAATCTAGTTCACTAGTCAATAATACTATGAATATTATAAAGCAATTGAATAAGGTAAACTCAGGATCAACATTGAATTCTTGCTTGAAATCAAAATTTCCACTTAATGACGAAAATAAACAAAACAATATCATGATGTTTAATGATACAACCTCTTTGTCAACACAAGCAATGTCATCGGATGAACAGGTGGAAGCTATACCTTTAATAGTAAGACATGACAAAAAAGTAAATAAATCCGGTTCAGTTATAAATAGTAATAGTACCATGTATAGCAGCTGTTCATCAAATTTGACAACTAGTACTAACGTAACAACAGCACCAATAACAAGTGAGAATAATTCATTTCATGGACCAACTATAAGTCGCAGAAGACGCACTAAAGTTACTGACACACGTTTAACTCATTCACGTGTTTCACGTTATCCAAATAATGCATTTTCAAATTGTATAATGACGAATTCTGTCATGCACCAAAACAATCGACATCATCATAACCAACCAATATCACAACAACAGTCACTTCTTCAATCAACTTCAGACATTATTGACTTGGGGAAGGCCTTAAATTTAGTCACATCAACTTCTACATCTTTTGGATTGAATGGGAACCAATTGCAAACTGATGATAAAGAATCTTTACTTATAAACCAAAATCTTTTACCGGGTATAAATCCGGCCAAATATCACAACGCTGTTATTTCTACCAGTACTACTACTTGTAGTAATATCAACAACACGAGTAATGTGAAATTAGATGATTTCTATTCTGCTAAGTATCGATCAGAATATCAAATTCATAGTAGTGGTAGTAATAATAGCAGTCCATCACCGATCTCACTACGTCTTTCAGGCTATTCAAAAGAATTGACTGATAATACCTCAGAAAATCTTAAGGGACATTGTCATGAAAATGTAGATATTTCAGAATCAGATAAGAATATCGATTATCAGGTTAACGGAGCGGATGAGAAGTTACATTGTTTGAATATGCTTCAAGAATACAAATCATTTGAAAAAATGTTTTCGAAAACACTGAAAAGTTATCCATTATCTCTAAAATCAAACTTACTTAATAACATCGGTACACTACCTGCAGTTATGAATACTGTTCCCTCTTCTACACCCTCCACATATTCTCCATCTGTTTTCAAAGATATAAATACGTCATTGGTAGTGACTACTTCAACATCATTATCTATCTCTTCTACATTCCCTACTCCATCTTCTACTGCTTCTGTGCCTGTCACTTCCTCTTGTGCATCAGTTTGTTCAGACATTAATCAACGTAAATTTTTGTCAAGATTCAATCAAATTTGTCTGTTAAATCCACGCCTCCCTAACTCGTTACCATCTATTCCCCCGATCTTTTTCAATCCTACAGAGGATACAATTAACAATAATTTCAATCATATCAGTAATAACAATACCAACAATACAAATAAATTTTCCACCAGTAATTTTTACGATTATACAAGTATACAGAATGATTGTCAAGAAAGACAACAACAGTCACTTTCACATAGTTTTGGAGCAAAAAATAATCTTAACTATTCTCAGCCACATAATATTTTTTTATCATCGTCTATTCCTTGCAAATCTCCCAGTCCATATTCATTATCTCTAAAATCATCTATATTTTCACCATCACAATCGTTAACACCAGTCATAGGAAGCATCGATTATAATAGTGTTATTACTACTGCTGCCAATAATAGTACTGACCATAACAATAATAATATAACAACTGTATGTAGTTCACAAAATAAACATCACCGTCCACAACAAAATCTCCCCAATTTAAATAATAAACAACATCATAATCACATAAGTTACATAAACAAATTATATGATAAATTAAATGCAAGTGAAAATCTACTCAATATAAAGCTTGACAAATCACTATTATTGAACGATAATTTTAGTAGTGAATCAACCAGTGGGATCACACTATCAGAATCTTATCAAAATCAACTAATGAATTATTCACATGAACTACGAATGGTAAATTTGTGTTGTCGTTTTTATGTTATAAGAAAGTTTACTCATTCATTAGTTCTTTTTTTTCCACATTTATTTTATAACTGCAAGGATCTTTGGAAATGGTTTTTATTTAGAATTTAGTAATCTACTGAATATGATTAGAACAACTGAGGCTTATTTTAAAGTTTACCTGGGGATATAAAGACTATTTATATCAGGTACCGCCATTATTACAATTAATGAATATACTATTTGAAATATTGCTATGACGTTAACTATCAGTGTAGTATGGCTGGTTAGATCTTACCACACAGAAACACCTTAAACATTCCTAAGTTCTTTCACAAATATTTTCGGTCATAACTTTCAGAATTAGTATTTTTGAAAGATAACTTTTGAACTATATATTGACTGTCCCAATAAATTTTGTGATAGAGCAGTTGGTTCTGACGAACTTCTATTGTGATTTATGCTACTTATGTTGACAGATATAATTAGTATGTAGCACCAATTCAACGTGGAATGTATGTCAACAAAAGACTGAGATATAATTAAAGAGTACAGAATGGGGAACAAAATGTAATTGTAATAACGACAGAATTATGGGAATCATGAAGCATAAAAAGGACAACTGAAAGATGTGCAAATGATGTATTTTGTGTAAGCACTCAGTAATTCCGCATCAAACAATAAGTTTGTCATCCCCACCTGAGTGTTCGTTCACTAAACTACTAATTATCCTTTAACCATAGGAATAGATATGAAATGCCATTTTTAATTAGAAAAACTGAAAGTGAAATTCGTCAGTTTGATAGCATTGTTTGCCTGTTATGCTTTTGTAAAAAGAATGCGGAACTTTCAATGCCTATATTTGAATCAGTCATTTTCATAGTGGTGAGAATTCAATCTCTGAATGCGTAACATAAGTTATTCAAGAGAAATCAACGATTTTGAGGCTGATGAATCAAAAATGTGATTATCTGTTCAGTTTTCTTTAGCATGTTCAATCATAAATATAATATGTCATGCTACATACCAATCATTTTCATTAAAATGTTAGTGTTACTAGGCTCTCTCAAGAGGGAGACTTACTTGTTTCTCTTTAATAGTTTTTAAAAACTTTCTATAGTTTTATTGAAAGTTCTCTTGTTAGAATTCTTTTACTAATATGAAAGTTTATTGTAAGCTCGCAATGGTTTGTAGGAAACAGAAATTATTTCCAATTTTATCCTACCTACATCGGCTTCCCAAGCATAAGTTTAATTTTCGACCATCATTTGTCAAAAATTGATAGGTAAAAATGATTAAAATACTCGTCTATATGTATTTCAGTCTTGTGATATTGAACTATGAGTGACTGTGTGATATTTTGGAAGTTATAGTTTATTGTATATTTTCTCCATCTCAAATAAATAGTTAAATCTTAGTGCATTTTATTTTGAGGCCAATAGTAGAATGCATAGTGTTCTGTTCTTTTTAGGACTCGTCAAGTGAATTACACCTGGATCCTGATTTTCATCTTCAGTTAAGATTCCGACCGAAATATTTTATTTCACTTTTAACTACCATTTTTCTCAATAGCTTATTCATTTTGTTTTCTTGATTGTGTTTCTTTGTTCTTGACATCATTCTCATTTTCCATACTGTTTATCTAAAGTCTGAAGATAGAATAACTAAAATAATACTTGAATATAAGAGCAGGAAAGAAAGAATACTTTAACGAAACAAATAATTCACAAAATGAGTTAAAGAGAACCAAAAAGAGAATTGAAGAGGGAGAAAACACATTAAGATTACACAAATCTACAAAAAAAATCATATTTTATTCTTCGAATTCGTCATCGAATTATTTCTACTTTTTTCCTTCTTATCCTTCTTTTATCCTAATTTTCATCTTTTTTTTCTTTCAAGTTGGCATACATTTCCGGAGTAAATAAAATTTCTTTCGCTACTTTTCTTTCTTTTCTGTAAATTATATTCAATAAATTTTTGGTATTTTACCAGTATATTTATTGAATAGTTACGAATATAAGAGAGAAGAAAAAAAGAATGAAAGAAACTATTGTTCGTTATTACTATAATTGTTTTTATTTTGATAATTTTCATAATAATAACAATAATAATGCTTATTCGATGGAACATCTTGTTTCTTCTATTTGTACTCCGTCTTCTTCTTCTTCTTATTCTTCTTCTCTCTCCTCTAAAGTTATTAGAATTCATTCATATTTGTCTTTAATTTATTGGTAAGAAGTAAAATATGAACGGGAAATGAACACAAACTCACATAATCACTTCTGACTTCATCAGCATCATCATCATCATCATCATCATCATCAACAACAACAACAACAACAACATCGCTATCACAGTTTTAACCACTACCAGTGTGTTTATAACAATATGGCCTATACCTTACAATACTAATAAACGCATATAATCAAACTAGTGCATACAAAAATGTACATACATAAATATGCTTTTATCTTGCCTACCTGCTGTTTATAACAGGCACCCATCGTTTGATGTGTGAGTCTGCCAGTATGCATATACATTAGTGTGTGTGAATGTATGAGTATGTCTGTATATGTAAAGAAGAGGGCAAATTGGGAGTAAAGATAAAAATTAATAATAACAGAGGCGAAAAAGGTTATTTCTTTCATTATTCAACATTTCCGTTTCTTTTTCTCCACAACATCATTCGATCACACATATAAATATATACATATTATATAAACTATCACTTGTTTTCCTGTTAAACAACTTTGTCTAAGATACACTTCCTACTAGGTTATCAATGTAAATGAAGCAAAGCTATTTCCATTTCTTCTTTCTTTCTTTTTCGTTAAAAAGAGGAGGTAGGTGAATCTTTTATCTAAGTGTGCAAAAAAACTGAATGACTTTCTATTTAGTAGTAGTTGGCACATTTTTGAAAAAAATCTTCAATTGTTTTTTTTTCTTACATTTCTAGGACAAAATTTATTATTATTATCATCTATTCTCTTATTTTGTTTGTTGTGTTTGTGTGTTTATATATTCATATGTGCGTGCCTGTCATTGTGCGGACTTTTTGAGTTATATTGAATATAAGCTTGCGTACATTTATGTTTGTATGTAATGAATAATGTTTTTTGTAAAAATACACACAACTTAGGATAGTACAAGGTTTGAAAAGAATAAAGGATATCCCCTATCTGTGTATATGTAGAAATTATTCCTTCTTGTTTCATTTTAGAATAAATAAAAATACTCGTTTGCATATGTCAGATTACAACAAAGAATATTTTTAACAATCATTAAACAGTACCAATTATGAATAGTAGTACTGATAGTATTATTATTATTATTAAGAAAATAATTTTAGTCATAAACCGAATTTTCTATGAAGCAGTAAGGAATTTTTAAATTACTTCAAAGACATCAATGATGTTGATTAGTTTCTTTATAAGAATAAGTTTTAAAGAATTTAGTGTAGTTCAGTTAATTTGACAAATGTTGAAAATGCATCTCACTAAGCAAAAATAATAAATAAGTTTATCCATGGTTAGTTATTTTTTACTTATTGTCTGACTATTAACTAAACCGATGACATGTAAAAGGAAAGTGAGTTCTACAAATCATTTCACTGTAGACTCATCAGACTACTTATGTCTATGCAGTTTGGTTAATAATGTGATATAGAGAATTATAAGTATGTTTCCAATTGCTGTCCTAACTTGGAATAATTGTGTATTAGTTAAAAGTTCTATGCCACAAACACATTTCAATATTCTTATTCAACAAGTCCCATAAAAAGCTGCCTGTTTGACTCCATTCAAATCAAACCGTTTTTTCTTTCCCAATAAATCAATAGAATCTAAGATACACTATTCAAAATAGTTCATTTCCTAATTACTGAAAATATTGAATTCTAATCCTGCGACTTAAAAGTCATCTATTTACCGAAAAAATAAATCATTCTAGGTTCAGTACAGAGAATCATGGATTACTACGTGTACCAAATTTTATTTTACAGTAAAGCCAGTTTATCAAATTTGTTACTAAAAATATTATCTTAATTTTTTTTATAAATATTTATCTATTCACTCTTTTTTTTCTTTATTTATCCACACAATTTCTAGACAACAACTTTAACACCAGTACATTTACGTAAAGCAAAATTGATGTTTTTTTATACAAGATATCCTAATTCAACACTGATTAAAATGTATTTCCCTGATGTGAAATTCTATAAAAATAATACAGCTCAATTGGTGAAATGGTTTAGTAATTTTCGGTAAGTCAAAATGTTTTTTAGTTTATTATTCATCTTTAATTGATTTTTTAATCATTTTTTTATTTGTAAATTAATACACCTATATTTCAGTAATAAATGAAATAAAACTTAGTACCCTGAATTTGAAACAGTAGATCATTATTTACCTGATGGTTGAATTATGTAAGTAATTTACTTATTCAACGAGTATTTGTGTTTTTTATAGTTAAGTATTTGTCTAGTGTAATATTTTATCTAGTTTATCTTTCAATCATTAAGATCATGAGTCAGTTGAAGCTAGACCATCATGGAAAACCTGGAAGCACTGGACGGCCGTTTCGTCCTATTGTGGGACTCCTCAGCAGTGCTCGCGCGCGAAACCAGTAGGTCCTGAGTTCGAACCTCGCAGAGGGCGAGGTCGTGAATGTGCACTGCTGAGGAGTCCCATAATAGGTCGAAACGGCCGTCCAGTGCTTCCAGGTTTTCCATGGTGGTCTAGCTTCAACTGACTCATGACCTTAATCATTGAAATTACTACAATCTCCACAAAACCTCTTCTGATAATAGTTTATCTTTACAAATTAAATTTCCATTGGTAGACGTAAGATATATCAAATTAAATATCATAATCAAAGTAATGTTAAAGATTTCTTTGATAAACATTGTATTGAATAGATCAATTGAATGTAAGTTATCAATTACATAGAGATTCATTAGGCACACTCTATATGTCTTAACCGATATGCACAACATTGTTTCAGAATAGTTACTAGTCAGGTGTTGGACTATAAATGATCTTTTCTTCGCAATCTGTGTCTTTTAGTTATGATAAATAAATACCGTAAGATGAAAATAAATGAACAAAGGCTATACATACACATTGTATAAATACTTTAACATTCAGTTAGCTATTTCGTTGTTAACATGTATCAAAAGTTTCTTTTCAATAAGTAAAAACTAGGAAGCACTGAAAAGCTGTTTATTCTGCTTTCTGTACACCCAAAAAGCGTTATGTAATTGAACAAAGAATAATAATTCGTTGTCAACTAGCTCACTAGTTTTATTAATCAACTGTACTGAGAATTTTCGCTTATATATATATATATATATATATATATATATATATATATATGATACGAACGTAGTTTTATGGTTGTAAAGTAAATATTATGTTAACTGAATTACCATCAAAAATAATACCAAAGTTTCTTAATTCTGACACAATGAAAAGATAAAGTTTTAAAATGTCATTTCTTAGTTGAAAATTTAGTCACTAGTAAAATTGAGGTATATGGGATTATTTGTATGTTGTTATTCCCTCCAGTATCCATGCAATATACTATAAGTACTTGTAAACTGTAACTTTGTGGTGTCCATCAAAAAAGTATCTTTTATTTTCTTATCCCACCTAGTATAAACATAACATTAAGCTTGTTTGGTTGAAGCTTGACAAGCAAACGATTAAGCAATAGCTTAGTAGTTCAAAGGTTAACTGAATGCTACGAGACCTGGAGATGTTAAGTTCGATAGTCAATAGGGTTGTAAATGTGTACTATTGAGGAGTCGGTACCAGAAAGAAATAACTGTCTTTTTTCTTGGTTTTAAATGGTTATCTGACTAAGATCAGCCCGTTATATAAATAAGCAGAATATTTAATGAAGGTGATAAATAATAAGAAAATAGATTTCATGTAGAACAATAAATTCTGTTAAGCATTTTACATCACCATTGTGAAACACGACAACAGACGGAAGAAATGTATATTTATCATGTGAAGTAAATAATAATACACATGTATAGTCTTTAATCTTCCATTTGCATCTTTTGACGTGTTATACCAACACATTACTTTCAACGTACTGAAAATCTTCACTCTATCTAACAATTGTTGCAACTTCGACGCCATGTTCTATCACGTACTATTTACAAGCAGTTTTACTACTACAGTCCACTACACCATCAACTCATATAAATTATTAGTGACATTTCATTTTCAAATATTACAAGCTTAAACAGTTACTAAAAATGATATAATCTGTTAATATACAATAAGGTAATGTTCACTGTTAGTTAGATTTAAAGTGTGTTTTTTTATAGAAACAGAAAAATAAAGTCAAAGAAATTTATAATTTTAAAATCAACATTTATCATAAGTTTTAATACATTCAACAAGAAAAGAATAAAATGTTACAGTGAACTCATGAGAATATAAAACATCAATCTTATGAATAATTTCTCAAGGGAACATCTAATCAATGAATTTTTTATGAAAAATGAAAAAAAATTTTTAAAATAAAAAACTAGTTTCAATATAAAGAAATTCAATCTGATAATCTGTACATAGTCAATTAATCATTTACGCTACAATATACTTTTTTTCAAAAAAAAAACTATTTCTCTTTCATTCATATTTCTTTTTTTAAATCTCTTTATTTTTTTAAATATTTTTTTGTTAAAAATCTTAATCAAAATCATTTTATATGTTAATTTGGTTGTATATCAGGGTACATGTTTAATGCTGACATAGATATTTGGTTTTAATTGATTGTTTTGATGTATTAATAAATAATTTAAAACAAATAAATAACAAACGAAAAAAATATTTTCGAATGAACGCTACTTTTGATATGTTAACAATTACATGATTAATTTAAGTACAGAAATCTTGTCTGTTCACTTGAATTTTAAATGTCTCAATAATTCTATATGAATTCATTATTTTCCATTTGAATGTATTGTATTAAATAAGAAAGATCGGTTCAGTGAAGAGTTCTTGGTGAATCCATTTTTATAGCTGTACAATTGGAAATATATATATATATATACTTATTTCTACAGGATGATAACAATTATAATAATAATCAAACAGCTTGTGAACACAGGTCAGTCAATCAAGATAGACTCTGTGTTCAAAGACATCTAAATGGTAAGTAGAAGTCTTCCAAAGACAGTTAGATTGAATTTTCTTCCCATTGGCAAAGTAATAGATGTACATCTGGAAAAACCGGAATTGTGCATGCAAAAGAAATTCGTACAACCTCTTCTTCTACCATGGTCTTAATGCTCTATAAATTTTTTTTCTTGATAGGCTTCTTTCTTTGTAGACATCTGTTTCTCCTTCTATCTTCTACCCCCAACTGGTTTGCTTCTGTTTCTACGGTCCTCCTGATTACATTTAATTGCGACATTTTATCTTATCATGCTGAGACATTCTTTCCTAATGTTAATTTCCCTATCTATCCTTTGATGAATATTTAAGCCAGTAATAATCAAACGATTATTAAGTTTTTCTTGTTTAAAAATTTTTTTAATACTTTTGTTTATTTTACCTTACTGTCACCATGTCTAACAGAAGTTTATTATCAGTATTATTATAATTATTATCATCTTTTGGAAATAAGTATACACATTCGCGCTTGTACAGCTTTGAAAATGAATTCACGGAAAAGAGAACTCTTCACTGAAGTAATCTTTCTTATTTAATGTCTCAATGGGTGCATTCCGTTTACTGAATATATTGTGTTAAACTAACAAATTAGGTGAAAAAAACGTCGTTATGGTACCAAGTGTGATGAAATTACGAGATATGAATTATTGGTAAATTGGAATTTTTTGGTCTGACTGTTTTGCTTATCTGTCTGAACCTTGAGGAAAATTCCATTAAACTATATAATGAACCACCAGAAAAATTCAGTTTTAGTCTTTTTTTATAATAACAATTGATATGATGCAGTTAACCACTGGAAACAATAGAAGATAGCTATGCAACATCGTGGATTGATTAAGGTTAGACATTAACACAGTTAGATGTCGACTCAAAGATTTGGAAGTTAGGCGTTCGTTCGCAAGGCCGAACGTCCTGAGTTCGAGTTTTACATGCAGAGTCTTATTTGTTCACTGTTGAGCGGTCCAAAACTAGGACGAAACGTCCTTCCAGTACCCACAGGTTTTCAATGGTATTCTAACTTAAAGCGGTTGATGATTTCAATGAAATAGAACAATCTTCTCACTCCTATACTGAAAACAATTTGTACTTAATACTGTTTCATTTATCATAAACTACTGTGTATATCAATCGTTTAGCTTATTTCTAAGCTATACGGTTTTATGTGCAGCCAAATAGCTATTGCTTAAGATGAAGTTGTACTACATTGTCATCATTATGACAACTCCGAATAGTTGATAGTAAAGTCGACTATAATAATATACTAATGAGGTTTTTAAATTAACTTTAATCACAAACTAATATTAATAGGAAGTAATAATAAGAGTCAAATAGAGATGAATGTACATTTAGTTTTATTTTACGAATTCTTAACATTATATATTGAAGAGCTAATCCTGAATTAAACTAGAAGCATTTAACTTTCGACGTTAAAATATAACCATCGATATTTAAATTCACTAATAAGCATAAATTCAATTATAACTGAGACAAATTGTGATTAGTTGATTATTTTGTTGCAGAAATCATTATTCCATTCTGACATTAACTGAAGGAAATAAAGAAAAAAAGACATTAATTGTATTATTTCAATTTGAAACCTTTCAGAATCATAAGATTAATAAAACACAATAACTAGAAAGAAGTCATTGAATAGTTGTTTTAATTCATTTATATAACGATCAAATTAATAGGGTCTAGTAGAAAGCAAAAGTTATTATTTAGATATTCATCATCCAAATTTTTTTTCCAACTTTAGTGATATCTAAATTTCAAGAATTTTAGATGATTTCATCTATAATTTTAGACTATAATCAATATAATCTTTATATCTGTGTCACTTGACTAAAACAGTTATGACTGAAGTAGTTAATTGGAATGATATGAATCTTTAACTTACGTAAGTATACGTTACATTCGCATCACTCAACGATTTCTGAATCAACTTGAATAGACTAAGGTATTCCATTTTTTGCATACAATTAGTGAGTAGATGAAATTTTACTTGAAAGATATGCATCTCAATTATGAATAGAATAAAATGTAACATATGAAATAGGTATGAAAGATAAGAACA